ATGAATTTAAAGCCTGACAATTCTCCGTCGCGACTCAGTATTCGTTTGACAGTTTTCCAGCATGTCACTCACGCTTACGTTGACCGGCAAGAGTAGCGTTCTTGCTGTAAGCTACTTTCCAGCTATAGATTTAAACGATGGCGATTACGAGCTTGGTTTAACGGACTTTGAAATTTATCATACGGTATCGAACGTGAATTCTTGGAATAATAAATTTTACTTTGATAACGACGACAAGGAAATTACGATTCCCGGGGAATCGTACGAATTACACGCTATAAACGAATATCTCCGACGTGCAATTTTACGACATCGGCGCGTAGTTGATTTCAACTATATTGTTGATGACGAAGACAATATCGGAGAACACGATGAATATCCAATAATGCTTCGCGCTAATCATAATACGCTAAAGAGTGAAATCAAATGTGTCTTTAGAATAAATTTTAGTAAACCAAACAACGTTGGATCGTTGTTGGGTTTCTCGTCGAATCGTATATTACAACCTCGGAAATGGCACGAATCGGATGTACCGATAAATATTATTAGCGTAAATATTATTCGTATAGAATGCAGCGTAACCACTGGCGCGTACAGCAATGACAAGCGCGTACACACGATACATGAATTTTCACCGAGCGTACCGGCGGTACGGTACCGTCAGATAATAAGGTATCGGAAACGCCAGCACAGATCATTTATCTACCGATCGTCGCACGGAGCATTACTGATTTAACGATACGCATTGATCAAGAAGGTACTGATTTAACGATACGCATTGTTGATCAAGAAGGACATTTGCTCGATTTTCGAGGAGAGGAAATTACCGTAAGATTGCATATACGGCGGCGGCAAAAATAAAGCGTTTGACAAATGAAATGCTTGTGTTGAACGAAAGCACGGAGCACGCGAGAGACAATATTTTTGCGAGGGACAATATTTTTGCGAGATGGCGAGTGACTGCGGTATCGGGTGACAATAATCAGATATCTGGTTACGCTAAAAAGAAGCTCAGCGCGTTGAATCGCGAGTTTTTAAAATCATTGGGATTCGTCGTACGAAATATTTGAACAATATGATTGACATCTTGAATATCAGAAGCAAGCCGATCTTTGACGACCGTATCGTCAAGATTGAGCCTCATACGTACAATCCATACGCCAACACAACACTTGGATATAGCGACGAGATATGGATACCGATACAACATCAAGATTTGTACACGTTACCATGTGAAAGTTTTCTATACGTTGAGTGAAAGTTGAGGGTGCGTAAAGTAGATGAAGGGGCAAGAGTGGTATTGGGCAACAATTGTGTCGCGTTTATGTTTGATGAACTTCGATATGAACTCGACGGTGTGGAGATTGATCGCAACAGAAACGTTGGAATAACTTCCACGAATAAAAACTGTCTCTCTAACAGCCGAGAGGTGTAAAATTTTGGAGAATGCTGCGTGAAATATATCACATAATGCTGCTAAAGCTTACTTCAATTTTTGCGTGCCGCTAAACATACTACTGGGTTTTTGCGAAGATTATAAGCGAGTTGTGATTAACGCTCGTCACGAATTAATTCTGATACGTTCGCGCAACGACAACAATTGCATATTTGGACATGCTTCGGCTGAAGCTGATATCGAATTATTCAAGATACAATGGCGTATGCCTCATGTAATATTGAGTGAGGTCAATAAACTATCCTTGCTACGCGCGTTGGAAAGCGGGCGATACTTGAATATGAGTTTTCGCTCTTGGGATCTATACGAATTTCCTCTATTGCATAATAAGACCAAGCATTTGTGTACCGTGAAAGCCGCCTCTCAGCTGGAGAAGCCGCGATACGTGATCTTTGCGTTGCAGACTGGCAGAAAAAATGCTGTGTCAAAAGATATTAATGTACCGATAAATATTATTAGCGTAAATATTATTCGTATAGAATGCAGCGTAACCACTGGCGCGTACAGCAATGACAAGCGCGTACACACGATACATGAATTTTCACCGAGCGTACCGCCCGGATATAAGATATCGGAAACGCCAGCACAGATCATTTATCTACCGATCGTCGCACGGAGCATTACTGATTTAACGATACGCATTGTTGATCAAGAAGGACATTTGCTCGCTTTTCGAGGAGAGGATATTACCGTAAGATTGCATATACGGCGGCGGCAAAAATAAAGCGTTTGACAAATGAAATGCTTGTGTTGAACGAAAGCACGGAGCACGCGAGAGACAATATTTTTGCGACGGACAATATTTTTGTTAGTAGGCGAGTGACTGCGGTATCGGGTGACAATAATCAGATCTCTGGTTACGCTAAAAAGAAGCTCAGCGCGTTGAATCGCGAGTTTTTAAAATCATTGGGATTCGTCGTACGAAATACTTGAACGATATGATTGACATCTTGAATATCGGAGGCGAGCCGATCTTTGACGATCGTATCGTCAAGATTGAGACTCATACGTACAATCCATACGCCAACACAACGCTTGGATATAGCGACGAGATACGGATACCGATACAACATCATGATTTGTACACGTTACCATGTGAAAGTTTTCTATATGTCGAGGGAAAGTTGAGGGTGCGTAAAGTAGCTGAAGGGGGAAGAGTGGTATTGGGCAACAATTGTGTCGCGTTTATGTTTGATGAACTTCGATATGAACGGTGCGGTGTGGAGATTGACCGCAACAGAAACGTTGGAATAACTTCCACGATTAAAAACTATGTCTCTCTAACAACCGAGAAAGATCTTGGAGAAACTATGTCTCTCTAACAACTGAGAAAGGTAAAATCTTGGAGAATGCTGCGTGGAATATGTCGCACAATGCTGCTTACTTCAATTTTTGCGTGCCGCTAAACCTACTATTGGGTTTTTGCGAAGATTATAAGCGAGTTGTGATTAACGCTCGTCACGAATTAATTCTGATACGTTCGCGCAACGTCAACAATTGCATATTTGGACATGCTTCGGCTGAAGCTGATATCGAATTATTCAAGATACAATGGCGTATGCCTCATGTAATATTGAGCGAGGTCAATAAACTATCCTTGCTACGCGCGTTGGAAAGCGGGCGATACTTGAATATAAGTTTTCGCTCTTGGGATCTATACGAATTTCCTCTATTGCATAATATGACCAAGCATTCGTGGACCGTGAAAGCCGCCTCTCAACTGGAGAAGCCGCGATACGTGATCTTTGCGCTGCAGACTGTCAGAAAAAATGCTGTGTCAAAAGATATTACTACATTCGACGACTGCAAATTGACCAATGTTAAACTCTATCTAAATTCGGAATTTTATCCCTACGATGATTTAAATTTAGATTTCGATAAAAATAGATTCGCCCTCTTGTTCGATATGTACTCTCGTTTTCGCAAATCTTATTATGGAGTGTGATAATGATGATGTGCTATTAAACATTTCAAAATTTTTACATTGCGGTCCTCTCACGGTTATTGATTGCTCGCGACAAAACGAGTCTGTCAAAAATTCCACCGTGGACGTGAGATTAGAGTTTGAGTGCAAGGAGGATATACCTTGTAATGCTTGTCATTGCCAAATTTCACAACATTTCAGAGTATAAACTGAAAATTGGCGCTTCGGGTCATGGTAAGGATCCACTGCGCCTTCTCTTGTCATATTGTTTAGAGATATAGAGTTGAGTTGTTGCAGTTAATTCTGATGATGATCCTGGGTAAAAGTGTTTTTCTTTTTTTTTGTGGGTTCAAAAAATCTCGGGAGGGAACGGATCATCTTCGAATCATCATAAGGATTCACCCAAACATTATTTAGAATAAAATATTGTTAAAATATATTGTTAAGGGGATCCAAAATTACCGACAAAACGCGAAAGTCGTTTCAAGTGAAAATCTTTTTTTTGGCTACACAGATTGATAAATCCTTTTTCACAGTTAAAGTATTGATAATAACGAAGGCGGGGAGCTATATTTCATATAACAAATCAAAGAAAAGTTAAACAATTACAGTTTTGTTATCGACTTCTTGCGTCAAGTCGTAAAAATATTTATTTAATATAAAAGTTCTGCAGTTTGTTCGTGCACAAGATATAGTAGCTCCTCGCCTCGGGATAACATGAAGGAATATTAGTGATCTCTTAGAAATAAGTTTATTAGTCTAGTAAAAAAGATTTTCATTCGAAATACTTTCATGCATATGTGTACGTGCGAGATTGAGGCAAAAGAGTAAAACAGAGCAGTAGATTAGTTACGCGATGTCGCGATAGACAGAGCTGCAATCGTACATGACATAATCGTACTATCTTCGTCTCTTTCATGTATGTGAGAGTAATATACATGTACGCACTAACATTATTGCAGTATCTTTTTTCTCTCGATCATACGATCTGTCTCTTTCTAATCGCTCGCTCGCTATGTACTACGTATCGCTTAGCTTCATGCTCCTCGCATATTCACTTATGCGTTCACTCGCGCTTCTCTCTCTCTCTCTCTCTTTGCTTGTTCGTTATTGTATTCTTTTATTCCCATTATTATATTATTTTATTTGCTAAACTTTTATTCTTTCTATTCTCGTCTCCCTACATAAAAATAAATAAATTTATTTATTTATTTTTATAAGAAATATGAAAGAGGAAGTTAAAGAAGGAATTAAAGAACGAGTAAAAATGATGAGAGAGGAGATGGAAGAGTTGAGAAGGGAATTCGGTGAGAGGGAAAAAAGATGGTTGGAGGAAAGGGAGGAACTGAGGTGGAGTATCAAAATGATGGGGAGGAAAATAGAGAAATTAGAAAAGCGCGGTATAGGGGAAGTAGAAGGGAGTAAGGCATTAAGACGGGAGGGAGATGGAGAGATGGGGAATAAGGTAAAGGAAATAGAGAGAAGAATGGAAAGAAGGGAGAGGGAGGAAAGGAAGAGAAATGTTCTGATTAAAGGGGTAGAGGTGAAGGAGGGGAGAAGAAGGATAGCGATAGAGGAGGTATTTGCTAGTATAGGGGTGAAAGTGGAGATAGAGGGAGTAAAAAGGATAGGGGGAGTTATGGAGGGAGGGAGGGAGATGATTTTAGTAAGGCTGAAGGATGAAGAACAAAAAAAGGAGATTTGGGATAAGAAAAAAATGTTGAGAGACAGGAAGGAGAAAATTATGGAGGACTGGACATGGAAAGAAAGAAGAATGAGATGGAGGTTAGAGGAGATGGCGAAGGAAGAAGAAAATAAAGGAAGGAAAGTGCGGATAAGTTATGGAAAAATCAGAATAGATGAGAAATGGTGGAGATGGGATGAGGAGGAAGAAGTTTTGAAGGACGGGAATGGAAATGTAAAAAAAGAAGAAAGGCTAAAAGATAAGGAAGGAGAGGTAGTGAGTGAGCAGGGGGAAATGTAGGAAACGGGAGAGAAGAAAGTAGTGGGGAGAGAGGAACGGGGGAGAGGGGAAGGGAGGAGCAAGAAGAAATATGGAAGGTGGCGTTTTGGAATGTAGCAGGGGTGGGAAATAAGGATAGGGAGTTTTGGCAAAGGATCAAGGGATGGGATGTAATAGTGATGTCGGAGACATGGATAGAGGAGAAGGGATGGGGAAAGGTAAAAGATAGATTACCGAAGGAGTTTACATGGAAAATGCAGACAGCAAAGAGAAAGAATAAAAAGGGAAGAGCGAGGGGAGGTATGCTGTTAGGAGTGAAGAAGAATATAAGGGTAGAAGAAGAAGGGGAGGAGGAAGAGGAGGGAAGAATGGTCTGCAGGGTAAGCATGGGGGGAGAGAGCTGGAGAATAGTGGGTATATATGTAAACGGGGATGTGGAAAGAAAGATGGAAGGTGTAAAGAGTTGGATGGAAGAAGGGGAAGAGGAGATTAAGACATTAATAGGGGAGGACTTTAACGCGAGGACAGGAAAGAAGGGAGGGTGGACGAGCGAAGAGGAACTAAGGAAAGGGGAAAAGGGAAGGAGATCGAAGGATAGGAAAATGAATAAGGATGGAAGAAAAATGATAGACTGGATAGAGAAAAGGGGATGAATAATACTGAATGGAAGCATAAAGGGGGACGAGGAGGGAGAGTTCACATACACCGGGGGAAGAGGAAAAACAGTTATTGACTATATTCTAGGTGACGAGAAGGTAAGAGAAAAAATAGAGAGGCTAGAAATAGGAGAGGAGGTGGACTCAGATCATCACCCGGTGATAGCATGGGTTAAGGGGAGCACGAGCAGGGGGGTGAAGAAACAAGGCAACGTCAGGAAAGGAAAAAGGGAGGTATGGGACGAAAAAGGGATGTTTAGGGAAAAAATGGGAAGTGTGAGGAGAGGATAGGTTAAGATACAGGAGAAAATAGAGGAAATGGGAAAGAGAGTAAGGGAGACATTAGAGAGATGAGAGGAGAAGAGGGGAAAAGAAAAAGCTCTGGAAGGGGATGGTGGATGAGGAGTGTAGAGAAAGAAAAAGAGAAGTTAGAAGGGAGTTGAGGAGATGGAGAACAGAGGGAGGGGGAGGAGATAGGTATAGAGAAAGAAAAAAGGAATATAAGGATCTATGTGAAGAGAAGAAAAAAGAGGAAAGGGACAGGATGATGAGAGAAGTAGGGGAAGCATACACGGAGGGAAAAGTATGGGAGTTAGTAAGAAAAGAAAGGAAGGGAAGGAAAAGGGGGAATGAGGATATAGCGATGGGAGAATGGAAGGAATATTTTATGGATCTGTTAGGGGGAGTGGAAGGAAAAGTGATAAGAGGAGGAAGGAAAAGGAGAGAGGAAGGGGGAGATGCAGAGGTAGGATTAGAATGGGAAGAAGTTAAGAAGGTGATAGGGGGGATGAAGGGGGGAAAAGCGATAGGAATGGATGGGATACCGAACGAAGTCTGGAAGTACGGGGGGGAAGAGCTGGAAAAATGGGTGTGGGAGGCATGTGGGTGGGTATAGAAGGGAGAGGGGTGGCCAGAGGAATGGAAAGAGGGCATCATTGTACCGATAGTGAAAAAAGGGAAAGGAGTAGAAACAAAAGATTATAGAGGAGTGACGCTAATGGCGTCAATTTATAAGATATACGCGGCGGCATTAGGGGAGAGATTGAAAGAAGAGATGGAGACAAAGGAGGTGCTGTCGGAGAGCCAAGCGGGGTTTAGAAAAGCAATGGGAACAGTAGACCAAATATACGCGCTAAACTACCTAATTAACAGACAGATAGGTAAGAAAGGAGAAAAAATGACGGCGGTATTTATAGATCTGAAGGCGGCATTTGATTCGGTGGACAGAGAGATTCTAATAAGGGTAATGAGGGAAAGGGGTATAAGAGAAGGATTGGTGAAAAGGATAGAAGAAATAGTAAGGGAAACAAAAAGTAGGGTGAAAGTAGGAGATAGGACGGGAGAGGAATTTTGGACAGCGAGAGGGTTAAGGCAGGGATGTCCACTGAGTCCAATGTTATT